AAGAAAACTAAATAACGGCAAACGGCACTCACTCCTCTTAGGTTTTTTTCCTTCTCTCCCCTTTTTTCCAACAAGGCAACACATGTATATATAGGGAACAAATTAGGGTTAACACCAAATTGTCAATAATGTCCCTAAAGCCCATTTTAAAGCCCAAACTAAATAATTAGTTAAGAAAAAATAAAATTTAAATAATTTAAAATAATTAAAATAAACTTAAAATAAAAACTAATAATCCTATTGATTCCTAAAATAAAAAATATTATAAAAAGAACAAAATTTTTTTCAATATTTTTTATTTTATGATTTTTTGGATATTTTTATGAATAATTTAGAAAAAAGTGAAAAAAATAATATTTTAAAAAATGATTTAATTAAAATACGAAAATAATAATTAAATAATAATAAAAAACTATTTTTGTTATTTTTTTAATGAAAGATAGAAAAATTTAGAGTAAAAATAATAAAAAACAAAAAAAATGACAAAGGTGAGATTCGAACTCTCAACCTCTCACACTCATAACTCCTTACACATGTCCTCCTGCCAATTGTGCCATTTTTACTTTTTAGAAAAAAAATGCATGTCATATGATATTTACCTGCAAAAAGTCAAACGACTACACAAATTTGTTAGTAATTGATTAAATGCAATGAAATGCGACGACAAATCTTAGGGCAAAATTTGGGGTATTACAGTTATTATGATAATATTTCTCACCCAACCTCTCTTTGATGTTGGCAAAAAAAAAATCATGAAGTTTGACTTTGGTTTGACCACAGTTGACCTCAGTTTGACCTTTTAACTGCATTGACTGCTTTTGACTTATCTGATCATCTGACTGAGCAAACTTTTGAGAAAAGTCTTGAAACTTAACATGGGGGTTCTTATACACATATAAGATGTTATGAAGCTCACTTGAAGTCTTGGAAGTCCATTTAGCCTGATTAAAGTCAAAACCCTAGTTTTGGATGCACTGCTTAGGAGGTGCATTGTCTGAGGGAATTGTCAACTCTTCTGACCAATTGTGAATTTTGTGAACCTTGTGAACCTTCTTGGAACACAAAGTCTTGTATTGTGAGGGCAAATTTTGGGGTGCAACAACTAGCATATGGAATTCTACTCATATATATTCTTTCAACTTTAGTACTTGGACTTGGAGTAGTACAAAGCTTAAGTTAAGGATTGATGGAGTCACAACAGGCTTTGAATTCAACATACCAAACTTATTGAGAAGCAATAATAGGTATGTCTCTTGAGATAAGCACAACTTCGACTGCTTTCTATCTCTTTGAATGTCAATCCCAAGAATCCTGGTGGCAGCTCCTAGATCCTTCATTTCGAACTCCTTACTGAGTTCATCCTTCACCTCCATTACATCCTCGACACTGTTGCTACTTATGAGGATATCATCCACATAAAGCAAAAAAATAACAAGTGAATTTCCAGGTCTAAATCTGAAGTAAACACAATGGTCAAACTGGCTCCTAGTGAAACCAATGTATGCCATGAACTTGTAGAATCTTCTGTTCCACTGTCAAGGAGATTATTTCAGGCCATACAAAGACCTATTCAGCTTGCACATATAATCTTCCTTATCCTTTTCTGCATACTCTTCAGGTTGACGCATCAAGATCGTTTAGTCTAGGTTACCATACAGAAATGTTTTTTTCACATCCATTTTCTCAAGTTCTAGGTCGAACTTAGCACTATGGATAACAACATTCAAATTGATCTATGTTTTACAACAGGTGAGAACACATCATTAAATTCGACACCTTCTTTCTGAGTGAACCCCCTAGCAACTAATCTTACCTTAAAGCGCTTCGATATCACTCCTTCGATTCCTTCCTTGACCTTGAAAATTCACTTACAACTAACTAACCTTACTCCTGCAGGTTTCTCAATTAGTTCCCAGGTGTTATTATCATGAAGAGATTTCATATCGTCATCCATGTCTCTGAGATTTCATATTGTCGTCCATGTCTCTGCAGGTTTCTAAATTAGTTCCCATGTCTTATTTTGACTCCTCATAGCTTCCTTGTAATCTCTAGGTTCTTCCTCAAGTACCTCACTTGTAAAGATTAAGGCAAAAGCTATAAGATCTGCATAACCAAGTCTCTGAGGTGGCTTGATGACTCTTCTCGACCTATCTTTTCCAGTAAGTAGTCATCGATAATTTCCTCAATATCTTCAGCATCTTGCTCTTCTTCTTCGACTTCATCTGAGCTATGCACTTCAGCATCACTATGCTCTACCTCAACAGGAATCTCTACCTATTCCAACTCCTCTTCAGATATTTCTGCACTTCAACCAACATCACTAGTTTTTTTGAACGCCATCTCGACTTCATTGAAAACTACATCACTACTTGTGATACATCTTCTGTGACCTGGTTCTAGGCACCACAACCTATAACCCTTGACTCCCTCAAGATATCCAAGGAACATGCATCTCAGAGCTCTAGGCTCGACCTTGTCTTGCCTAATGTAAGCATAGGCTAAACAGTCAAATACTCTCAATTTATCGAGATCTGGTGGTTAACCCGACCAAACTTCTTCAGGTGTCTTCATTCCCAAGGCAATCGAAGGACATCTATTTATCAGATAAGCTACTGTCGAAACAGCCTTCGCCCAAAACACCTTCTTCAATCCAGCACTAACCAACATGCATCTAACCCTTTCAAAGATTGTTCGATTGAATTTCTCGGCTAAGACATTTTGTTGAGGAGTACCTACTACAGTTTTATGCCTTGCAATCCCAGACTCGAAACAGTAACTATCGAAAGCTTCGTTGCAAAAATCAAGACCATTGTTGGTTCTCAACCTCTTAAGCTTTCTTCCAGTTTGAGTTTCTACCAGAACCTTCCAACTTTTGAAATTCTCAAATGTTTCATCCTTAGTCTTCTGAATGAATACCCAAAATTTTCTGGAGTAGTCATCAACTATGGATAGAAAATACCTTGCACGTGAATGTGAAGAATTCTTGGCAAGCCCCTAAAGATAAATATGAATGCAATCAAGGGATCCATGTGTTCTTTGTTTATCTTTGTTAAAATTCACCCTACAGAATTTTCCAAATACACATGGTTCACAAAACTCTAACTTCTCGACTTTGTCACCACCTAGCATGTTCTGTTTCCCTAGTTTGACCAGGCCTCTTTCACTAACATAGCCCAATATCATGTTCCATAATTCTGTCTTCGACACCGTTTTCGTGGATGAAAAGTCTGCTGACTTTCAATATACAAGCCTTGTTTCTTCACGCCTCTCAAGACTTCCTTTGACCCCTTCATGACTTTCAATATACCTTGCTCACCTTTGAAGACATATCCTTTCTTGTCAAATTCACCAAGAGAAATCAAATTCCTCTTAAGGTCAGGTATATACCTAACCCTAGTCAATAGCCTTATCGACTAATCATGGAGCTTGAATCTTGTAGATTCAATACCTGCAACCTTGCAAGCTTTATTGTTTTCCAACATCAATGATCCACCATCTTAATCACATAACTATTCAAACACATTCTTGTTTGGAGTCATATGCCAAGTACATCCAGAATCCATAATCCACTCTTTGCAAGAGTTGTTGCTCGACACCACAAGGACATCAGATGATTCATAATCATCTTACACAATAGTTGCATTGCCATTGTCCTTACCTCAATGATTATTCAGGAGCTCAAGATAGATCTTTCTTATGTGACCCTCCTTCTTATAGTGATAACACTTAATCCTAGAAATATCACCACCATAAGACTTCTGCTGAGTTTTACCTTTCTTCTTCTCAAACCTACCATCTCTCTTCGAGGATTTCCCCTTCACGGACAACCCTTCGCCAACTGATGATGATGGTTTCTGCTCCTTTCTTTTATTCAAATCCTTCGAATACAAGGCTGCATGAATATCTATATAGGTCAGGGACTTTCTTCCATACAAGAGAGTTTCTTTGAAGTGGGCATGTGACTTAGGTAAAGAACATAACAATAACAACACTTGATATTCATCATTGATGGTAACATCAATATTTTCAAGAACAAGAATCAGCTTGATGAACACATCTAGCTGCTCTGTCAATGCTTTATCTTCATTCATCTTGAATGAACAAAACTTGCTTCAAGTACAAACTATTCACCAAGGATTTTGTAATATACAATCCTTCGAGTTTCAGCAAAACACCAGCTGTCGTTGTCTCCTTCGAAATCTGCCTGAGAACCTTATCACCAAGACTCAGAATAATTACATTGTGGGCTTTTTTGATCGTTGTCTTTTCCTTCTCTATCAATGTAGCATCCATGGCATCTTCTCCCTTTAATGCTTCTAGCAAACCCTGTTGAACAAGAAGGGCCCGCATCTTCAAACGCCATAAACCGAAGTCATTAACTCCGGTGAACTTCTCAATTTCAAATTTTGTCGACGACATCTTCTCCATACTCACTGCACCAGTTTGTTATGATCACATACGATACCTTTCAACAAATAAAGATTGAGAAACAGAGTTCTTGCATGAACAATGAAACAGTTAGAACAAAAAGAGAAAGAAGAGAGGATAAAGAAGAAAAAAGAAAAAGGATTAAGGCAAATTGTTTACTATTCACTTTCTCATTTAGGGTTTACAAATGAATAACAATTGGCCTCACTCAACAACCTGAGTGATCTAGTCTGTTTATAGAGTAAATAGCTAACTTACAATACAAGCTAACTAAACAATTGGATCCTTAACACAAAGCCTAATTCGATATAATAAGTCAACAATATATATTTCGACATTACATACTAGAACTATCTTTGATTACAGTATGTAACCCTTTGACATCAGCATGTGACCCAGCTTCGACTTCATGTTTGTCACTTGTTGAAACACATGAAAGCTATTCCTCGACAGAGTTAGAGTTCGATCCAAAAGCTCACATGTTATTTTTGTAAAAGATATAGAAATAGTTGCTATATAATATGAAAATTCAAGTGATACATATTTATTTGGATGTTGATTTTTATTTATTCCTATAAAGTGTTGTTAGATATCCATCTACTATACATGTCAAAACATTCTTTAGGACGAAACTCCGGAGCTGTGTGTCCTCCACCCTGAAAATTTCTTCAATCAATAATTGTATAGCGAAACTAGGTGATTCTTAGTGCATAATAAAAGAGTTGAATGATTAAACATGTTAATTTAGCATATATAGCACAAACACTTATAAAAATAAATAAAGTAAGAACAATCAACAGGTGCTTAATGTTAAATTTTAAGCAACGTGATTGAACTCTACCAACAATTTTATAGTTGTATCTCTTGAAATATCAAGTGTTGAAGAGAACGACGACGGTAAAGCTACAAGTTAGCAATAGTATTAAAAGATGTTTGGCAGATGCTAATTGTTATTGGGTCTCCGACCATGTCGGTTCGGTTTGTATGTCGCCTTAGTAGCGAGTCATGTTTTGGTCTAAAATTGGATATCTAGACTATCTATAGTTAAAAAAACATAATTTTATAACACTTTTATTAATAAGAAAGAAATAGAGAAGAAATGGTAATCCTACTGAGAGAAACTTATATAATGTTGTAAAATATTTCACTGATGGAATTAAAAGTTCTTTTTACAATGTTGCAACTACATGCTTTAAATAAGAGAGAATAGAAAACCTAATGGGGTTTGACTAATGGGTCTCATTACTAATACTACTAATTACTATTTACAGTCTAATATTTACAACACTCCCCTTCAAGCTGGTGAATGGATATCTATCATTCCCAGCTTGCAAGTAAGTTGCCTGAATCTTTCTGTTGGTAAGCCTTTTGTTAACACATTTGCAAGCTGATGCCCAGAAGGAACGTAATATGTAGTTATCAGCCCACTATCCAACTTCTCTTTGATAAAATGTCAGTCAATCTCAATGTGTTTAGTCCTGTCATGCTGAACAGGATTATGAGCAATAATAATAGCCGATTTATTGTCACAAAACAATTTCATAGGACCTTCACACTGTATCTTCAAGTCTTCTAGAACTTGTTTCATCCACAATAATTCACAAATTCCTAGTGCCATAGCTCTAAATTCTGCCTCGGTGCTTGATCGAGCAACTACAATTTGCTTCTTACTCTTCCAAGCTACAAGGTTACCACACAGAAAAGTACAATAGCCTGACGTAGATCTTCTGTCACTCACTGAGCCGGCATAATCCGCATCAGTGTAAGTCTTCATAGCTAAATTCTCACCTCTTTTAAACAAAAGTCCTCTCCCTGGAGTTGCTTTAAGATATTGTAGAATGCGGTCTACAGCCTGCAAATGTCTCACCCTCGGATCATGCATGAATTGGCTCACCACACTGACTGCATATGCTAAATCTGGTCTAGTGTGTGCCAAATAAATCAATTTTCCCACTAATCTCTGATATTGACCTTTGTCAACTTTGTCACTTTCCTCCTCAAAGCTTATCCTGTAATTTTGTTCAATGGGAACACTTGCAGGTTTGCATCCAAGTTTGCCAGTTTCCTGCAAAAGATCAAGTACATACTTCCTTTGAGAGATAAAGATGCCTTTCTTTGATTAGGCTACCTCAATCCCAAGAAATACTTGAGTTGTCCAAGGTCTTTCATCTCAAACTCTGCCGATAATTTCTCTTTGAGCAAATGTCTCTCAGTCAAATCATCTTCTGTAACAATAATATCATCAACATAAACAAGAAGTACAATCAATTTTCCTTCCTGTGAATATTTAAAAAATAAAGTGTGGTCTCCTTGACTTTGCTTATAGCCCAAACACACCATTGCCTTTGTGAATCTTCCAAACCATGCCCGAGGGGACTGCTTTAGTCCATATAAGGCTTTCTTCAATTTACACACCTTGTTAGCTTCATTTGTTATGCCAACACCCGGTGGAATCTCCATATACACTTCTTCCTCTAAGTCTCCATGCAAGAATGCATTTTTAACATCAAACTATTGCAATTCCCATCCACATGAAGCAGCAAGAGATAGTAAAATTCGAACAGTGTTCATTTTTGCCACTGGGGCAAATGTCTCCTCATAATCAATACCATATGTCTGAGTATAACCTTTTGCCACTAGTCTTGCCTTATACCGATCAAGTGTGCCACCAGATTTATACTTTACAGTATAGATCCATCTGCATCCAACCGACTTTTTGTCTCTTTGCCTTTCAATAATCTCCCAAGTACCATTTTTTTCAAGTGCTCTCATTTCCTCATCCATAGCTTGGACCCAATTTCTATTTTACAATGCTTCTTCAACTAATAATGGGATTTTCACAGAATCAACAGCTGCAATAAAACTTTGGTATTGTGTGGAAAGATGTTTAGTGGAGATATATTGAGAGATAGGGTGTCGATATACGGAGGGACAAGATCTTTTATCCTTCCTCAAAGCAATGGGTAAATCAACCGCATTAGTGTCACAAGTATCCGAAATAGAACAATCATCATTTGAGGAATCATTTTCAGTACTTACCTCCGGTTCAGACGATTGAATTTGTTTCTGGAGAAGGTCATATTTACTTCTTCTCTGATACACTAGAGTTGGTGCTGAAGGTGTTGATTCCTGTGGAACATAAGGCATTAAGGACCAGGAACAATTACTGACTCAGATTCAGTTGTTAAACTAGGACTCAAACTCAAACTAGGTGACAACTCGGGTTCAAGAGAGGGAACACTGATAGGTGTTCTCGGGAGGCTAGGACCAAGGATCAGAAACTCGGACTCAGACTCTAAGTCACTCATGTTCTCCCCCTGAGACTGAGAATGAGTGAAGTATGACACATTTTCATGAAAGGTGACATCTTTGGAGACAAAGAATTTCCGACTCGTAGGATGATAACATTTGTACCCTTTTGTTGGGTGCATAACCCAGAAATATACATCTGACAGCACGGGGATCTAACTTGTTGTGATATTGTTTGTGAACATGAACAAAGGCAACACAACCAAACACGCAAGACTCAAGATTATGTAAGATAGGAACAGAGGGAAAACGTGAGGGCATAAATTGAGCAGGACTAATATTACCTAACACTCGAGATGGGACCCGATTAATCAGATAGGCAGCAGTAAGAACTGCCTCCCCCCCAATAAGAGGTGGGAACAAACATTTGAAAAAGGAGAGATCGAGCAACTTCAAGTAAATGACGATTTTTTCTTTCTGCGACACTGTTTTGTTGTGGGGTGTCAACACATGTGAATTCATGAAGAATGACATGTTTACTAGTGAAGTTGGAGAAGGTATGATTGACATATTCTTTACCATTGTTGGAACGAATTCTTTTTATACATTTCCCAAATTGTGTTTGTACCATATTATAAAATTGGATAAATATTTGTGGTACTTCGGATTTAGTATTCATCAAGAAAATCCAAGTTACACGAGTATAATCATCAATAAAGAAACAAACCATTTTGCACCAAAAATATTAGAGGTAGGGGCAGGTCCCCAAACATCAGAATGAATCACATCAAAAGGTTCAACACTTTTATTAAAACTGGAAGGAAAAGTTACATGATTGTGTTTTTCCAACTGACAAACATCACACTTAAAAGACTCAACAAAATGGTTTAAGAACAATGATGGAAACATAGACTTAATTATATAAAATGGAGGGTGACCGAGACGCTTGTGCTGAAGCCAGATTTGTGAGGATGAAGAGGAAGACTGAGACTGGAGACAGGAGGACAACACCTTTGGATGGTCATCAGAGAAGTAGTATAACCCTTCCTTTTCCTTAGCAATTCCAATCGTCTTCCCCGTGGTAAGGTCTTGAAAAACACAATGGGACATAAAAAACATTAATTTACAATTTAGATCACAGGTAAGCTTGTGGATGGAAATCAAATTGTGGGAAAGTGTGGGAACATGAAGCACAGATTGCAACTGAAATGGAGGTTGCAAGTTAATATTTCCAGTGCCAACAACACAAGCATGAGAGCCATCAGCAACAGTGATATAAGGAATACTCGAAGGTGTGGTATAAGAGAATAATAATATGGAATCAAATGTCATATGATTAGTAGCACCAGAGTCAAGAATCCACACATTCTTAGGGATATTACCACAAACAGTAAAAGATCGGGAACACAAACTCTTACCAGTAACTGCTAGAGACCCAGAACCAGAAGGCTTACTCATGGAGTCAAGCATAGACTTTAACCATTCCACGTCATTCTGACTGAAGGAGGAAAGATGAGTTCCCCCTTTTTCAAATCTTTCAGTATCATGGGCATGTGTGGCAACATGTGCCTGATGTTGGTGCATGTTACAAGAACTACCTCCTCGGCTAAGAACCTGTTCCCTCCCATATAGTTTGAAACACCTATCCTTTGTATGCCCTGATCGGTTGCAATGCTCACAATAGAATTTGTCATGACCATTCTTAGATGATGATGATGGTGGTCCTTGTCTTGTTGTTTTGCTAGCTACTAGTGCTGACACATCCGGGGGTTGTTCATGAAGCATAGCTTGACAACGGGTCTCCTCACTATGAACAGTGTAAAAAACTTCATTAAGATCAGGAAATTTTTCCTTACCCAAAATCTGCACCCGAATAGGGTCAAATTCAGCATTAAGGCCTGCTAAGAAATCAAATATCCTATCCCGCTCAATAACAGTATTCAAGGTGGCAGTATCCTTGCTGCACTCCATATTCAAATTCTAATATTGATCCAACTCAATCCAAAAACCATTGAGAACTCCAAAGTAATCGTTGACCGAAAGACTTCCCTGTTTAGTGTTGAAGATTTTCCTCTTTAAATCATAACAAGCAGACATATCTTGTTTCATGGAATAACTTTGACGAAGATAATCCCAAACTGCCTTTGCACTTGAGAGATACATGCAATTTTTACTAATTTCTGGAGATATGGAGTTCCAAAGCCAAGTAATAATAGCATAATCATCTTTATCCCAGGAAGGGAAATTAGGAGCAGTAACCAGAGGAGGATTGCCTTCAATATGATCTAGCATGTCACAACATTTTAGAATGTGTCTGATGAACTGAGACCATTGAAAATAAATTTTTTCGGTAAGCCAGTAACCTTTTTGAACGACAAAATCCTTAGCATTAAATGGGACTGGTGGA